TCAGGTATTTTTTTCTTTCAGGCAGTCAGCCCAGAAGGGACTTGCTAAACTCAGGAGTTAGGTGATTACATCATATAGGTCACAGAATTCAGCTGCTACATGGCCATTTCTATTATTTGTGACTTTGCTTGCCTCATTGGGTAGAGGAACTGGCCACACTTGCTGTTCATACTCATCCTCTTTGTCATGTGAATGTAAAGAATTTACCACTAGCTCTTTTTCTATCCAATACGATGGTATAGAAAGCAGAATATGTTTCTAACTCATTTCTAGATTCTCAGCTTGTTGGAAAGAGATTGAATGGGCCCTGAGGATGTATAGGTCATTTTAAGACAATGTCTGGGCAGATAGGGCAAAGGTATAGAACTTTATCTTTCTAAATTCTGCTTCTTTTTCAGTAATTAAAGCTCTCTTTTCTTCATAAGACTTTTCCTGACTATTCCCACCCCCATTGCTCTATCTTCTTTTAATTTTAGTGTCAGTAGTGCTGCCCTACGGAGCCCTGGTGGAACAGTGGTTAAGAGCTTGGCTGCAAACCAAAAGGTCAGCAGTTTGAATCCACCAGCTGCTCCTTGGAAACCCTATGGGACAGTTCTACTCTGTCCTATAGGGTCCCTATGAGTCCGAATCGACTCAACGTCAATAGGTTTGGTGTTTTGTCTTGTTTTTTTTCTGGGGGGTGGGGTGCAGTTAGTGCTGCCCAGTTTAGTACTTGATTGTTTCCTGTGAGTTCATCTAAGTTATGAGCTACTGGAGTCAGGGGCCAAGTTTTATGTTTTTTGTGTATCACCCATGATAACTTGCACACTGTTAGGTACAATATTTACAAAAAACCAAACCAATTGTCATCCGTCGATTCCAACTCTTGAAGACCCCATGTGTGCAAAGTAGAACTGCACTCCACAGAGTTTTCAAGGCTATGACCTTTCAAAAGCAGATCACCAAGCCTTTTATGGAAGGCGCCTCTGGGTGGGTTTGAACCGCCAACTTTTCAGTGAATAGTCGAACTCTTAACTGTTTATGCCACCCAGAGACTACAAAATAGGTGCTTAATATCACTGTTTGAATTTTTAATCACTATTTTAGACTTGGGTGAATTTGACTACGGAAATAGTGGCTTGAGTCTTTTAAAATTTTACCAAAACGAATTGATCAGAGAGAAACTTAGAGTATTTCAGATACTCCTGTAGGGATGTAAATATCCCAAGACCCCAGAAGTTCCTTTCTCACAGAGATTACAACGTAGTGAAGACCTGGGCACGCACAAAAGAAGCCAAACAGTGTTTGCATTTCTAATTACAAGGCCTACCCTGGGATACCAATAATTTCTAGTTACTGAATAGTCTCTCTTCTTTACAGCCCATATTATGGGCCTAGTATTTAAAAAGTTCTCGGAGAATATTTGAGATTATTCATCTTTCTCTTCACTGTAATGCAAGTGGGAGCTTGCATGATGACTCATAGAAGGAAGAAGAAACAAGAGAAACATCTATTTGATGCTCTGGTTTCAGAGTAGTATTCCTGGAAGCAAAATCACAAATTCGGAAGTCCTCTTTCTCCAGTGTCAGTAATAAATGTTGTTACCATCCAGAGTGATTATGTTAATGAGAATCAGGAATAAAATTATAGTAAGTACATGTATAAGCTACATATCTGAGCTTAAGCTAGAGTTAATAAAATTTTAATGAATTTGATCACTTTAACTTCCTGCTAATGGTAACTTGGGTTACCTAGAAGTCACTTTTTATTCATAGGATCACTGGAATTGGAAACTTACAGATCATCTAGTGTATAACCTCTCACTTTTTAGATGAAGAGACTGACTCCCAAGAAGGGTAACTCACCCTAAATCACACAGGCTGTGAAAAAGAATGAAGTATCTGGTTGCCCGTAGATTGGAGGAGCAGGGGGTGTGGGGGAGAAGAATATCCCTTTTCAAACATTCAAAGATGTCGTTGTTGTGTCATTGAGTTGGTTCTGACTCATAGTAACCCTACATACAACAGAACAAAACACTGCCTGATCCTGCACTATCCTCACAACCCTTGCTGTTTGAGCCCATTGTTGCAGTCACTGTGTCAATCCATCTCTTTAAGGGTCTTCCTCTTTTTTGCTGACTCTCTTTTACCAAACATGACATCCTTCTCCAGGAACTGGTCCCTCCTGATAACACGTCCAAAGTACATGAGACGAAGTCTTGCCATCCTTGCTTCTAAGGAGCATTCTGGATGTACTTCTTCCAAGACAGATTTGTTTGTTCTTCTGGCAGTCTATGGTATATTCAATATTCTTCTCCAACACTATAATTTTCAAAGGCATCAATTCTTCTTTGGTCTTCCTTATTTATTGTCCAGCTTTTGTATGCATATGAGGCAACTGAAAATACCATGGCTTGAGTCAGGCATACCTTAGTCCTCAAAGTGACATCTTTGCTTTTTAACACTTGAAAGAGGTATCTTGCAGCAGATTTGCCCAGTGCTATGCATGTTTTGATTTTTTGACTGCTGCTTCCCTGGGTGTTGATTTTGGATCCAAGTAAAATGAAATCTTCAACAACTTCAATATTTTCTCCATTTATCATGATGTTGCTTATTGGTCCACTTGTGAGGATTTTTGTTTTCTCTATGTTGAGGTATAATCCATACTGAAGGCTGTGGTCTTTGATCTTCATCAGGAAGTGCTTCAAGTCCTCTTCACTTTCAGCAAGCAAGATTGTGTCACCTGCATATCGCAGGTTGTTAATGTCTTCCTCCAATCCTGATGCTGCATTCTTCATATAGTCCAACTTCTCAGATTATTTGCTCAGCATACAGATTGAATAAGTATGATGAAAGGATACAACCCCAACACACACCTTTCTTAACTTTAAACCATACAGCATTCCCTTTTTCTGTTCAATCGACTGCCTCTTGGTCTATGCACAGGTTTCTCCTGAGCACAATTGAGTGTTCTGAAATTCCCACTCTTTGCAATGTTATCCATAATTTGTTATGATCCACACATCAGATGTCTTTGCATAGTCTGTAAAACTCAGGTAAACATTTTAAATGCCTGCATACTTCATCAGTTGAGGTTCAAAGATAGTTTCAAAATTGGACATTTTCAATCTTTAATGTCATGACTTTATCATCTGCATCTCTTATAGCACTTGTTACCTTGTTTCATTATTCTTTATTTTTTTTTAATCTCCCTCTCTAGGTGATAAGCAGCTTAAGGACCAAACCCAAATCTAAAATTGTTGTTGTTGGTCATTGCCCTCAGTTGGCTCTGACTCATGGTGATGCTACAAATAATAGAACAAAACATTGCCTGGTTCTGTGCCATGTTCACGATAGTTGGTATGTTTGAAACTTTTGCCGGGGCTATTAGTATCAAATTTAAATTACCTTACACAGTGTCACACACATAACCTCAATAAAAACTTGTTGAATGATCAAATGAAGGAATGCTCTTTCTGCCTTTCCTCCAAGTCTCAGGAAGAAGATAGCTGCCAACCCAGAATGAAGTGGTCAAGGATAGAATACAGCAGTAACACAAAGACAGCCTTTTTATTCCCTTTCAAGTGATTCATGTTGTCCTCCCAACCTGAACATTCTTTCTGTGGGATACAGCATGGTCTCATATGACTCAATAGTGTCATTTTCTTTACTCCCCTTTACACAAACTGATTAGATGCCACAAATGCTGAGTCTGTTACAGTTTTCATTTTATTCCTTTGGGAGGCCCCTGCACAAACTTTTTTTTTTTTTTTTAAATGGGGGTGTGATCACCATAGCAACTCTGAGATACAAATCTTGACTAATTGAATCACTGTGTTTGAGATGATAGCCTGGGCAAAGAGAATGAGCTCAGACAGGAGGTGGAGGTGAGAGTTGGGAGTGGATGAGAATGATAAAAATACTAAGTTCTCTTGAGTTCCTGGATTTGGAGCAATTTGGTTTGTAAAGCACATTGTTACTTTTCACTAAAAGGGTGGGGCAGGAGATGGTGTGGACCTTAAGTTTCTCAGTAAGCATAGGGATGGTCCCTCTACCATGTTGTTCCCCTCACCATTTGAGAGGCTGGTATTGGTGGCCCAGAATTCTCACTGAAGTCACTTACTTTGGTTAAAACTGTAAATACTACGGCACAGGGGCTAGCCCTGCAGCCTTTCCAAACATTTAAAGAAAGGTAAAGGAATTTCTGTAAGGGGTAGGTTCCCGCGTGCTCCACCAAGCTTTCCCTTAGGACCCAACACACGTTATGCAAATAACGAGTTACTCAGGGATGCACTCGTGAGAAGGCGCGGGCTCGACACGTAAATGCTATACTTCCAAAGTGACCTGCATGGCGCGCATGGGGGACAACCCAAACCTCTCTCCCTTCCTCCGGTCTCTTGAAAACAGCCCCCGCTCTTTCCAGCACCCCCGCGAGATGCAGTTTTGCACTGCTGCCTGCCGACCAGAGGCTGGGCGAGGGGGCAAAGGCGGGCACATGGCGCGCTCCACGGAGACGGCAGCTGCGCTTTGTTTCCAGCAGCAAAGGGTGAGTCACCAGGCCACGCAGCCCCAACGCTGGGCAAATGCTCGAGCCAGGGCTGCTGAAGAATTAACAGCAGTAACAGTTACCGAAGAGGCCGCTGCTTCTTCCTCCTCCTCCGCTACCACCAGCACCACAGCCGCCGCCACCGCCTCCTCCGCCGCCTGCCTCCGCCCAGTCCCCTCCTCCTGCACCCGCGAACTTAGTCAGCGGTTCGCGCCGCTGCGCGCCTATTGGCTAGCGGGACGCGCCGCGTCACAATGGATCCGGTCAGAGGCGGTGAGCCGAGCGGCGCTGGGGCTTCCCGCTGAGCCCGCAGCCGCCGGCAGCTGCGAAAGTGCGGCGCGGGGGCCG